GCTCTGTAAAATTTTCAGCCTCTCATTTATTCTTTCCCTTCTTTTCTGCAAGATACAGAAGAAAGATTGATTAATCAGTTTTACGTTTATCGGCAGCAATGCTTGACCACATTTGTCTTTGTGATAGCTTTAACAGATAGTTACCCTTGCATAAAGGCTTTGGGGATCCGTGGCTGCTCCCCTACTGGCTCTTGTTTTTCCATTCAAATTCAGTGCTGCTTGTCCTCCATTCAACTCCTGAGAAGCATTTGAGTCATCATCTGATGAGCAACTGGCCGAGCTTTGCCCGTTGAGACCAGCATTCCCATCTTTATCTTTGTTGGTGATTGAGGCACTACCCTGGTTCTTCTTTGACCTTGCATTTTGACGGTTCTTTTGGACCTGCACCATTAAATTTGGGTGAGAAGGTGGTGCATAAACTAATTCTTAGTACGCTCATCTAGGAAAGGGAGGACTTCATATCATCCAGAAAGTAACAATTTGCTAAGAAAGAAAAACGCATGTCTTTTTACTCACATCTCCTGAACTTCGAGACCTTTTCTTAGAATTCTCTGATATGTTGTTACTTTTGATCTCTGTGGCCGGTTCTGGCTGTGGGATCTCAGATTCCCTTTTGGGCTCCAAATTCTTATTGGGAAGAGCAGGTTCGTGGTAGCTTTTACCAGCCTGTTCTACATTTCCGTTGCCCGTTTCTTGGTTCAAGCAATCATCTCCTTCGATAAGATAGGAACTTGTGTTTGTTGCATCTTCCATACAAAAATCCATTGACATGGGGCTATTGTTGGCTACAAAAATCGGATGAGAATCACTCAGGTAGTAGCTCTCTTGACTTGAAGAAGGAAAAACAATACTACTACCAGCACTATAACTACTCCCCTGTGAAAAACTGTATGAACTAGTGTTAGCAATATCTGAAGAACAGTATGAAGCCCCTTTCATGCTTATTGTTGAATGATGGCCAGGCCAATAAGTAGATGGAATTCCCAAGTTTGAACTCCCATCTAGCTCATCAGGAAGGGGACAGTTACTGAGCAATTGAGCCATGAAATCGGCTTCCTCAGTGGTGTACGTTCCACTAAGAGAGCTCCACTCTCCTTCCAAAATGGCAGCTCCCATAGAATCCATTCTTTTTTCCCTTGGAAGCCTTTCGGAGAAAGAAAGGGTTTTGGGTTCTAAGTGGTATGCTACTAAGAGAAGCTCTTTTTTTGATGCTTGAACAGAAACAGGATAAAGAGACATTTATATACCCAACAGCTGTGAAGAATGTTATGGGAAAGCATTGACTTCACTCGTGTAACAATATCTCATTTCATAATTAGCAATTATTAGAGCTGGGGGAAGTCCCAATTCCCTGTCACTGATATGCACAAGTCCGCAATGGGCCCAAGTACAACTCAGAAACACTAAAATAATGCAACATTTCAGCTGCCTTCAAACGCCCAGGACGTAACTAACTGTACCCCAAGAGAGAGAATGATTTAGGAGTCGAGAAAACGATCTGAGTTAGAGATGAACTAAGATTAGGTGGGGATCAGAAAAACTGGTCAATTATTTAGGCAGGAATGAAAAGAAGAGATTTGGTGAAGAGGGAAAGGAAGGAGAATCACACCTGGCAATGGAGAGACGTGGGGAGTCTTAACTTGAATATGATAAACATAAAATAGTATACATGTTAAAGTAGAGAATGAAAATGACATTGAGGAAAGGGCGGCCAGATCGTGGAGATGAGTATCTTGACATTCTCAAAACTACCTGGAACCAGACAGTATATCTGCCATTCGGATACTTTGTCTCCTTCATGGGTCTTGAATCCTCACAATTGTTGTTTGAACTTTAGGAATCTCTATCTTTTTAGTTATCAGTACAGCCAAAAATTTTCTACCCTGTTACATGTATCTGAAGATCATAAACCAGATTTCCATATGAATATGTTGTGAATTAATGCTGGTTCGTGCTAAGCCACAGCTTTTCTAATTACAATTCCGTGGTATATCTTCAACCATGTTACGTGTATCCAAAGATCTCATAAACCGGATTTCTATGAATAAATTGTTATATATCTTTAGAGTTTTCTAGTTTTTCATGGTATATTCTCAAGGACTTGTACCAATTTCCTATGCTAAAGGTAGTATACTATCTTTTGTCTGAATATAGGAACAGCGAAAATGAGATGAGAATGAGACTGTCGATGACTTGTACAGAGAAAAGATGCATGGATCATTTCTCAGAGAGTTAAGGGTTTTCACCATGTCAGATAAATCAAAAGGAAACATATATACATATATGATCAACAGACTGATATACTGATGAACTACATTTCCAAAATATGTTATAGCCCCTACTTATTTAATACTTATTGTTCTTTTATACGTCTCCTTGACTCCATCCAAAGAGCTTATAGTATAACTTAATACCAAAAGTGCTTTAGGATGAATTTATACCCCAAAAGGAAACAAGGGTGAGACCCTAGGTTTGTATTTCATTTATGATATATATTAAACGATAATATATTCTGAAAGGGAATATATGAAGTGGGAGAGAATGATATGCAACTCACTATATCATATATACTCCATGACCAAAAAAAAACCAAAGAGTATCCCAAAAATTTGTTCACTTCAGCTTTTAGTTCCAAAAATTTGCTTTTACATGGAGCATGGTTTATATTGTCCTATGCACTTGCATGCTTTAATATGAAATCGATTTAAGATAAGATAACATACTTAATATCTTACGAGATGATATAAATGTTAATAGTAAACAATTCCGCATCGATAAAAGAAAAAATGAAAAAAATATTAACTTTTATTTAATGCTTACACATGTTGTTTAGTTTTACAATGAATACGAAAATTTATTATATGTTAAATTTTGAATCATGATAATTTTAAATATATGATGTTTTATATGAATAAACGTCCAAAATATATATTTATTTATATCTCTTTGCTTCGAGCTCAAGGAATAATTAAAATTATCATTTTTATCAAGCATTTTCATCTTAATTTGTTTTTTTCTTAACAAAACAATATTGACATCATTTTCTTAAAAAACAAAAAAGAATTATTGAAAGAAAACATTTGTCCTTAATCATTTCAAAAAATCAAATCTAAATAGAAAATAGAATCTAATCTACCCTTAAATTTAGGTAAAAAACAAAAATACCTTTATCAATAAATATATATCTATCAATATATTCTCAAATCTATCTATCTATCTATCTATCTATCTACCAACATCCAAATCTATTATCTACATAATTACATTTATATTTTATTACACTAACAATTAAAATAAAGTCAAAAATTCTCCATGTGTGTTTAAGTTAATGAAAAAGACGGAAATGCCCTTGGTGTCAACCATTTAAGAAATCAAAGTTTTTTTTTTTTGTCGTTTTTTGGTCTGAGATTAAAGTAAAATTAAAAATGAATCAAAAGGCATAGAGCCAAACTGGTCCGAACGTGTTGTATAGGAATGATTGCAGCAAGATCTCACATACTGACAATACCAAATAAAAACTAATGTGATTAATGTGGTCACATTTTTTTTTAAGTGATTAATGTGGTCACATGATAATGGCTACTTGGTAAAATAAAAACCTCCTAGCTAGCCTAGCTTATAATTAAACTCAAAACTCATAACTTAAACTAATTATTGGTTTTACATTAATATTATTTTATTTTATGATGACACGATTGCAATTAATTTCTTGTCAACTCAATTTCTTATTTTTATGAGTGTTTTAAAAAAATATAGTGTTTAAGTCGTTTAGTATAGAATTGGGGTTCTCTTTTTTTTTTTTTCCTCTTTGTTAATTATTTTTGAACTTTGTTTAGTTTACATTTTGTGTAAGAATATATTGTTCGTGGAAAATAAAAAAGAATAAAGAATAAGCATAACCACGTGGAATAATGAAATCCTCAGGAAGAATAAAGAAAATGAAAGGGAAACCACAAATGAAGAATTAAGTAATTAAGAAATTGAGGCCCAAAACCCAAAAGAGCTTCTGCATTCGCTTCACACCTGGGTTAGACTTGAATCAAGCAATGAAAATTTGAAATTTCCCAAGCCCTACCTAAGATTCCGCCGGGTTTTGCTCTCCATTTTACGCGTAAATATTGAAAATTTTATTGAATAAAATTATGTTCATTGAAAAAAAAAGAGATAATTAAATAGAGAAATATTGAATAAGTTGGATATAATAAAATATTCTAAAGCTGAGAAGGGCGCCGGCCATCGCACGATGTGTTGCTGGGTTGGATTGGTATATGTTTAAAATTGATAATAAAAAGGAGGAGGAATAAAATCTCAGCACTGCAACTGTTTTGGAAACTCATAAAATCTGATATTGCTCTTCTTGCATGAGAGTAATCCCCTTTTTTATGTTTCATTCTTGGATTCATGGCCAGCCTGCGAGATCCATGTGGCTAATTAATTATTTTGGTACATTTGTTTTAGCACTTTGGTCTAAAAACCCCTCAAGAGGACACTTTATAATTCGCATAATAAGGCATAATTGCATTTATATAATCTCCCTAATCCTCATTTCTTTATGTCAAATATAATTTTGATTAGGGACAACGTATAATCCTTAAGTCTAATACCACATGGTTAGGATATGCTCTGGGTATTTGTTATTATCGAAATTATGTACTCAATAAAATATAATGATCTGCTTTGTTGTTTAATTATTTAAAGCTTCGAGCTAATAGCCATGTTTTTTTTTCTTGATTTTCTTTTGCGGGAGTTTGAAAGAAAGTTACTATTTACCATTTACATGACTCAAGTAAAAAATATTCTCATTATTAGAATACTAGTTTAAATGGTAAAGTGAGATTAGATATATATATATATATATATATATATATATATATATATATAACTAAAGATTATA